TGAAATAAATGTAAAGCAAATAAATCACAAATAAAAGTTATCACAAGTAAATCATAAATATAAATACACGCATACCCAGCAAAAAATTAAGTTTGATACATTTGATATAAAATAGCGAATTGAGATTGATTTGACACGATTTTAGAGTTCTTTTCCAAGTCTAAAAAGTCTAAAGTAGAGGTGTGTGAGGACGCCATTTCCGGTGACCCCTTGGAAAAAAGATGCGCCCGCGTTGACAGGATAACCCCTTGATCATAAAAAATCCTGTGGCCAAGTCTCTAAGAATTGTATCTCAAAAACCTGTGTAAAATTTCAAGGCTGTATATCCGAAACCATTACTCGGATCAACTTGGAAATTTAAAAAAATATTTTAGAGGTGATTAAGACAGTAAAAAAGTTCGATTTTTGGAAACCCATAAATCCACGTAATCTCTTAAAGTCTACTTGACACAAATATTTCAAGTGTTTCACGATCTCAACCTCAATAATTCTATCAAATTGTTAGCGGTGATCCTTGCTTAATTCCAAAACTTTGTGTTCTTAGTCACTTGTCATTTCTGTCATATCTCTAAACGCTTTTCAGGTTGTAAGTTAACAATATTCGGTGAAAACTTAACCAAAACTCACTTGGCGGCCGATTTATTAAAAATTATTTGAAAAAAAAAAACAGAGTTCCCTTAGACGAAAATTTACATATACTCTGTAATCTTTTACACTTGACCACGCCCTTTGGCAGTTAGTTTGCCCCTTAATTAATGGATATTGTGACAAATTCTTCATGTGTAGAAGCATACATCTCTAGATACGTATGCATATCCAAAAAATACATACACAGCTAAACAAAAGTCACCGTCATTTGGTACTAACAACATTTGAAATATATGAAAATACGAAAATTCACATTCTCAACTGAAGCTGCTATTTAGTTATATAAAAATTTTATTTTACTGCACTTATTGTACAAAAATTAAAATTTTAAGACTATAATGCAAATTTCTTATGGACAAAAGTCACCATCATATTATATAATATTTAATTAAAAGCGAAAAAAATATATTTTCATATATTCATTCATTCATTCTTTATAAACGTTTCTGCATTGAATAAACAAATTCCCATTTTTGATGAAACTTGGTGTGCTCGAACATGTCTATCCCCAGTGGCTCCATATACATATATTCGATTGTGTTGAGATCGGGACTGAGGTGGAGTTTTCAAGTTGTAAGGAGTGTCGCATAATGCCCACAACAATTTCTCCTGAATGCTTCGGGCTTTTGTCATGCTGAGGGTGATAGTCGTCCTCTATTCCAAACTTTTGAGGGCTTTTTTAATTTTCTTTCAGAATAGTTAAATTAAGTGTTTTGTCGCTCCCTCCTCACACCAAAACTACAGCACCACCGTGTCTTACTTTTGGCAGAATATTGTTTTCTAACAGTGCTTCACCGTTTCTACGCGATTCCAAAACTCGCTCATCTGGCTTGTGTAGACAAAATCAAAAAATTTGATTTCATCCGATATGACAACTTTCTCTTGAAGGACCGTCGGCTTGTTTGCGTGCTTTTGACAATCTTCATCTTTTTAGCCATCGGTGTTTTGCTCGATAAACTCGGGCATTGTACCCAGCATTATTTACCGTTCTACGAACAGTCCGAGGACGAACAACCATACCAACGTCATTGTGCCTATCTTCTATGATGGGGTTTTGGGCTTTTTTTTTATTACCTTTACTATCTCCCGTTTGTCCCGTTCTGATAGCGCAAGCGGTCTTCCACTTCTCGGTTGACATTTACAATCTGGGTAAATTTTAAACCTTGAACTAGTTCATATATATATAGTATATATATTTCCCGACCAGCCGAAAGCCTATGATGATAGCGCTGCGTACTTTAGTTTATTTAATAATTTGTTTATTATGTAAGCTTTAATAAAATAAAATAAAAAATAAATAAAAAATTATTTCCCGAAAAGTCTTTTGCTGTTTATAAGCATTCATATAATTTTGAACTAGTCAATGATCGTTTTTTTTCGTTTTGGACTAATTTTTTATTTATAGGCGGCATTTGAAAGCTCTCTCAGATAAATTACGGTACTTTATTATGAAAGATCATTTTCAAAGTTACCATATACAATGAAATTGATTATTTTAGAAGTAAGATCGCCCAAATTATTCTTATTTGTTTCCTATTTTTAATAAAGTTTAAGAAATACTTGTATGTACTTCAAGGAGAGTATGGTTGTTTTGTAAATAGGGCAAAATATAACAGTATGTATTTTGGCTCAAATATTATACATTTAATTGAATTCTAGCTGTAGAATGCTATAATTTGTGTTGTAAATATTTTCTGATTTTATTTGCCTTTTAAACATTGTAACGATCATATGACGGTGACTTTTATCCATCAGTGTACTATGAAGAAAAAATATGTATAAAGTATATTATATATACATATGTGTAATATATATTTATGTATATATATATAAGCATACATTTTAATTCTTTTCAACTTGCATTGGTTCTTGTAATTTGTAAGGCTTTTCAAAAATTTAGAATATCATCCACTTATTTGTTGATTTACTAAACAAAAACATAAATTAATTCTTTACCGCAAGTTGACGTTGCACACAATTAGCATTGCAACAGCAGTTGCTTCAAGTAGAGAAAGAACAAATTTTATGTTCATTTGAGTTAATTTTTCTTTTTAACTGGCCAAACTGCGTTGTAAATAGAAAATGCAACACATATGAAATACGTATTTACATATGTTTGTATATCCATATAGATATATTTGTATATATGTAGATATACAAAAGTATACGCATCCGTAATATTTCAAGCATTTCTTTCCAAACTTCTTTGGAATTTCGGCGCAATATTTGCACAGCTTTTTCTTTGTGCGGCAACAAAAAGACTAAAGCAAAGCAAATACACTTCAACATAATAAAAATTTAAACAAAGCTTTCTTATGAATTGTCAATAAACAAGGCAACGACTGCTGTGGAAATGTACATAATGATAAGTGAACAAATTTAATACTTTAGCTTGCTTTTAATTTGCCTAAAAATGTGCCGTCACAAGTCTTAATTGAGCGCATAAACCCTACAGAAAGTGAAACACACAAGCGTTTAACTAGCGACTGTTTTTTTGGCACATCAAAAACAAAGCAACATAGCGGTAATTATATTTTATCCACCAATTTGTCATGTCTTATTGCTTATGCTTTCTATGCGAACCGCAGGCATAAGCAAATAAGCAATAAGTAAGTATATGATATAATAAAATGTTTATTGTAAAAGCGTGCTCCGCTCGTTAAAAATAGAGAGGAGAAAGAAATTATTCGCATGCGACCCAGTGCGCTCTTAGTTAACATTAAATACGCGCTCGAACGCCATTCATTCAGCGGTTCGTTCATTCAAAGTGTCGCAACAACTGTGTACACACGTCACTAGGCTTCAGCTATGTTTTGCGCTCTCTTCAAGGTCTGCACAATGTAGTGACGCACTGTCGTAATCGCCAGGTGATTGTACTCTTGCTAAGTCTGTTCTCTTATTACACTAAACTTGTTAAATGCAATAAGACACGTTCTTTTTATAAATGATTCATTCAGGAAACTTTTAATTCATTAGTTTCATTGATATTTTATTGCTCATGAGAAGGTCGTGTTTTCATATCATATAAGATAACAAGTAGTTCTTGAGAAATAAAATTGCTCATCAGTTTTCTAAAGCGTCAATGTCGAGGTATACATGAGGCTGAAAACTTCGTATACTTTCTATGAGAGAACGTCGTATTGTTTTGGTTAAGAGTTAGATCTACAGGGACGATATTCCCAAAGCCACTAATTTTTCAGAAATAAGCGTTTGTCAGTTATAGTTCCGTTAATATTCCACTTTAATGCTTTTAAGGTTGATGGTTCATTGTTTCAAAATGAAAGTCACAATCACAAAGAAGGTTCCTAAATCCAAGAGTATAATATAAAATCTCTTGATATCTTAGCTATTTAAGAAAAAATAGCCCCTAATATCTCTAGTAGTCAGACATAAGAGTGTCAACTTTTCTGTTCTTAAACTGGTTTAGTCCCATGAGCGAAACAGCAGCAGACTCCAGACGACTTTACTTCGATTATCGAAGAAACTTTTGGATGGAAAACAACCCAATATCTTAACCCTTCAATGGTAAATTCTTGTAAGACATACCGCAGCGTTTAATAATTTTAGAATTTGACATATATCGTGATCCAAGTATACGTACTTTTTTCAATAGCCTTTTCTTGACAGATCACGCGTGTCCGCATTTGGGACAAAGAGCAACCTGCCATTTTATCTAGATAAAAATTGTTTGCAGTGGTTTGTGAGCCGGTGGAATCGTCGGTCAAATGTGATGCCGGAGAGAACATAACCGTGAATGGCGACCATTTATGCATCTTAATAACCCACTCTTTGATGCCTGAAATTGAAGCTCGTGATCTCGGCAACATTTGATATCAACAAGACGGCATCTCTCCAACACATCACATCAATCACTGGAATTATTGAGAGAATAAATCGGTGAGCAGATGAACTACGTTTATGTGTAATGTCACACTGTTAGACTGCCAGATTCATCCTGTGGGGATATGTAAGATCCAAAGTCTATGCGGACAATACCGCTTGGATTCAGGATTTGGAGAAAACATCACACGTGTCATTCGCCAGTTAATAGTCTAAATACTCGAACGAGTCATCTAAATGTGGACTCAACGGATAGACGTAGCCGTGACCAGCATTTGAAAGATAATCTTACAAAAATAAATGCCAAAGAATGTTCTTTTGAATAATAAAAAAATATTCCTCATTAAATTTGAAGTTTCCATGTTTCTTCTTTTAAAAAATTAGGGAACCTCGAAACCGTGTTTTTCAGGTCCTTATAGCCTTATTAAAAAATTAATACTTATTATTTATTTTGATAACTTTATTTTTTTTTAATTAAAAACAATAACTATCAATTAACATACTTCTTTTGATATTTTTGTAAATAATTATAAATATAATAACTTAAATTATTGTAGAACAGAATATCGAATTAAAAATTCTCGCTTAAACAGAATGTAGTCTTTGGAATGAGCACATTGGTATTTTGTCATAATTATCAATTAACATATTTCAGCTAACTACTACTCAACTTATTTTTATGTGAATCGAAGACTCAGTTTGAACTAATGATTTACATTGCAGTGATTGTAGTGATCGCGTTGCCAATCTGTAAACAAACTCGAATGCAAATATATTTAGCCGAAACGCAATTAGTCATCGTAAGACGCGAAACCGTCCCAAAAGAGAGTGAGAAGGGGAAGAGACAAAGAAATATCAAGTTAGAAGACGCTCAAAAGCTTCGTATGTAAGTACTCACCGCTGCCGGTCAGGCAATTCTCGCGCAGCATATCACAGTGGCTGTAGAAGAACTGATGATCGCCGTTATATGAAGCGCAAATCGCTTTGAACGCGTCGCAGCCATCTAGAGCGCCTGCGCACGGGTGACTGCCGAAGATGGCCAGAGCGATGAGCACTAGTAACAGCAGCAACACAATAACACCGACTATTAGCCAAATGGCAAGGCGACACCAAGGCGCTTTGCACGGCGCGAACATTGACACGCCGTTGGAGCCGATTAGAACACTGAGACGATAGCGCGCACAGTCCAAAAATAGCGTAAAGTAACGGTATTCGCAACACCTCGATTCTGAGTCTTATTTTTATTTCTACGTGAACGTTATCTAAGCGCTAAGCCATCGAACTAGGCTAACGGTTTGACAAGCGCGCGTGAGCTTGAAACGCACACGAGTGGAGCGCGCACCAAGCATAGCTGAGCTGAACTGAACCAAACTGAAGCGTTGTGATCTGAAATGTACTGAGCTGAGCTGCGCCAGCGCCAGCGCGTTCGCCGTTGGCTGTGAGTCAGTCGCTTGCTAGCGGTGCGTGCTCCGCGGCGTCCCTAACGCCACTCAAAGGCACGGCGCGTCGCGCACGAATTTTCGCTAAACTTATTTACGCTCTTACTCTTGTTATTGTCCGGCTCTATTAGCAGCACTTAAATATTTAAATTTTCCACAGTTACGCTGCTAATTTATCGACCGCTTTTCATGCACTCGCTCAATTTGAAAATTTTTAAACACGTTGAAAAAAACAACACTTAGTGAAATCAGTTGGGCAACGGCTGTGCTTAAGCATGCAAATAAGCAACTTTTGTCGTGCTGATAAACAATTGTCAGTCACAATCAGTTGCAGTCGTATTTGTTGTTGCACTTATTGCTCGCCTTGTTTTGTGTGTTTGTTGCAATTTCGTTGTGCTAGCTGTTTTCCGCCTGCCAACAATTGTTCGCCTTGTCGAGTCTGTCTATTTGCTCGCCTCTTTTACATTTACTATTATGAACTACTTAGCAAATTTTTTTATTTCTTTTTTTTTTTTTTAATACGGACAATTTTATGGGTTTTTATACAGTTAGTCAAGCTCATCACTGTTGCACCGCTGCACTCATTCTACTTCCGTAAACGACTGTCAGACGTTCACTCACCGCCATCATAGAGCAAGGTGGTATCTAGTATCAGTGCGCACGGTTACCCACCTTCACTAGCGGTATAGTTAACTAACCAACAACAATGAGCTTGCATCATAATCACTCAGAACTTAAAAAGCCACGCCAAGGCACAGTGTTGTGTGGTAGCCTAATAGGCGCATAGTTTTAGAATGTTGAAAAAATTCGCTACATAGCTCAGAAATGATAAGGAGGCCTTAATTTTTAGCTTATTGCCTATACGAGGGGCGTTAAAAATCACGATATTTTTTAAGTTAAAATTTCGCGGATTTAGAGAGAACAATTATCAACAATTTCTTTTCAGTTGTATTCTTTATTCACTTTGTCGGTGGCAGTCTTTAAAGTTAGACGAGATTCTATGAGCGTGTCAAATTTCGTTTACTAAAAGTATATTACCAAAATAAACCTTTATAACCTTGACAGGTGGCAGCGTTAATCCGGATTACACTTAATCAGATCCAAATTTGTAGTTGCAGACGACAGCGATGCGAGTTTGAAACAAATTAGTTATAGGAGTTAGCAACAGTGTTATCTTCACTGATTACTGATTAATGCAGTTAATCCGGATTAACGATTCCATCTGTCAATGCTATTAAGCATCGTCCTTTTACAGGCGTAGATGAAAATTGCTGAAAGAGCAAGAATCAATCGATCATTAAAATAAGCGCTGGCATCAGTGCATAATATCGACAGAGAAGTCAACCACATTAATGTGAATAAATATAAATATTTTTGCAAAAACCGAGAATTACAGTTATTTCTTAAAAACCCCTCGTATAACTCTGTCAAGTTAACAGATCAATTGAAAAGTCCCCGGGACATTTTTTTTTTTGGAAAAATTCGTATTTTGTATTCAACATAATTCGATTCAATAATGATACACTGACTATAGCGACCCTACAATTTCTCAATACCATTTTTGTAGTACGATTTGTCGTCTACTTCAAAATAGGCGTTAATTTCGAAGCCCAATTAATGGAGTCTTGCCATCGTTTTTCCTGTGACGTGGTCTGGTGAAAGACCACTTTGTGTTTCCTTAAACAGTCCAGTAATGCTATGTTATTCTCGCTGTTAGTGATCTTTCCATTTCTAAAGTAGTGCATAAAAGTTGGCCATGCGCATCCCTAAATTGTATGTATTTGCCAGCCGACTGTTGCGTTTCCCACACTCTCGTAGGACTTTCGATTGCACTTCGGGGTGAAATGATGTAGCCACGTGTCTTCCATACTCGCCAATCGATACGAAAACTCGGGTTTTTTATGGTTTAATATTTCCAAACACTGATCATGAACTCGCCGTTGTTTTCGGTGAAAAAAAATGAGCTCGCAGGACACCTATTTTGTACAGAGCTTTCTCGTGCCTAAATATTCATCAGTGACGTGACGTATTCGCTCAGTTGATATCTTTAGAGTGCCAGTCCAGAATTTTTTTGTGGACTTTGATTTTCCTGGGGAAGTGTCCAGAACTGTTATCTAACCAAGTTTTTGCCTCCACTGTATTTTTTCCTTCAAAAAACAATATTTTATTCTCAGGCGAAATTAGGTTTTATCAATTTTTACAATTTTACAATCCCATGATATAATATAATGATCTGACTGCCGTTAAGTTTATAAACGGGGCTTTTGAAGGTTAGGGCTAACTAAAAATCAAATGAAATTAATTCTGGTGGCGCCATCTATGTATCAGGCCGTGATTTTTCAGTTGACCTGTTATATTAGATACATTTTTGAAAGAATTCATCAAAATAATTAAACTGTACTTCGTAAAAGATGGGTCACCAAGCCTCAGGTATTTACAATTGAAAACTAAAACCTAGTAGTTCTTCGTTATTCGTGAGTTTCTAAACCCAAGAGTATAAAAATTCTTCATTAGACTCCATGTAAAACATAGTACTTGAATACTAATTGAAATAACTATTTTAATGTCAGATATATTCCATTCATTTAAATTAAAATGTATCTCACTAGAGGTTAACTACAAGTAGAACCAAAATTTATATTAATTTTGAGCAACTTTGAACCACTGTGCAACCGTTTTGGCGCATTATGCGCCACTTGTTGCCAGCATACACGCACATTGTGATTTGATGACGGCATAGCCCAGCAAACACATTCAACTTGCCACAGAATTTCCAAAGAACCAACTATGAATGTGTGTGGGTATATAAATACATACATATATACATATACAACCACACACAATAGTTGCTATATTTGCTGTTTGAGTGTAGCGCTGCTGCTGCCATGGCAACCGGAAAACACCAGCAATTGTTGTCATTAATTGTGCAGTGTTTTAGGTGAATGGCTGCGGTTGAAATTCCATACAATTCGGGCGATGCCAAATGGGCAAGTGGTGGGAATTATATTACATGTTGCTGCCACAAGCCATCAACTAACATTCGCTGCCAGCCGCTGACATTGCTGCGCAAGTGCTGCGCCACACAGATACCCGCTGCTCAAATGGGTGCACTTAGCTTCGCAGTGGCCAGCAGCGGTGGTGGGGTGTCAAGGGAGTGCAGTTTCATCTTCCGTTGTATTTAGTTATTTACCTTTTGGGTTTTTTTCAGCTGCGCAGTTTTGGTTTTGTTGTGTTTTTTTTCGGTACTTCACTTCCCGTCGACAATTACAGTTTTGAAGCTTTTTGTGTGCGCAGCTTTATTCTGCGCTGTTTTGCCGGCTTTATTATTATTATTTAAAAATCTTGTTGTTGTTTTCGTTGCACATTCTGTTCACTCTTCGCATTGTCATTAAATCTACGCTGTTGTTGTTAGTTGTTGGCGTGGTTATTGCGGCATGTTGTTGTTGTAATTGGGCGTTCAACACGATGTTCAGCAGAGTGGAACTATGGAACTGTTGTTCGACTGTTTTCATGCAATACCGTCACGCCAACAAAACATGGGCACATATGTACATACATATATTAATTTATAAATATTCATATAGCAAGTGCTTGGGTGTGTATACCTTCATATATTATATACATGATCACTTCTCGAGTGTGTCTCGAAGGCGATCCATATGCATTTTAAGCTAATTATGGTAACTTAAGTGCTAATTAAATATATACAAATGACCATTAGGGTGGCTCTTAATCGATTATAACTTCAAATTACTTACTTAGCAATATTGCCGTACCAGTCCGATAGTCCGTAATGATATATTTCGAATCGGGGTCCATATGTCTAATTACCCTGATATTTACGAGGGTAGGGTTTAAAGTTCAAGTTGGGCTTTAAAATTTAAGAAATTCATCGTAAACATTTCTAACTATATAAATGGACTACCCTAACACACTCAGCTGAAACGTCTTCATTGTATTCATCTCCGCAGTCATGTGAGTATAATATCTCTAGCATTATTACAAAATAAATAAATAGTCTTATGCTCTTGTTGTTATTTTTGTCTTGGTAAGTAAACAGATTTTTATGTTTGTTGTTTGTAATTTACGAAAAGTCGTGCTTCTATTTGCTGAGAGCTGCATAAACTTGCAAATTTATTTATTTTTCGGGTTCACACTTTTTTGTGAATTAATTGCGAAATATTAATGTTCCATTTTTGGCTACGAAACTGTGTCTACAATAAAGTAAATCATACTTCGGAAAGTTTGAAACTAGTTTACACTTATTTTGAAGTTAATTTCTCATTCAAGACAACCTTATTTTTAGAAACTTTGATTAAAAGAATTCTCTATTTTTATTATGAAGTGCAACTAAAAGTAGTTATGGAAGGTTGGTAAGACAACTTCCAGAGTTAGACCAACAGAAATTTCTCCAACTTAAACACTGTTCACTTCTTCTGCGGTCTAGCTTATGACTTTGCCTTTTTCGGAGAAGCACGGTAAATTATCTGAGAAATTAGCAAGAAATCTTATCTTTCTAGCGCCATATAGAGTAACCCGATTGTACCTACAAGTATGCAAGCTGAGATACACTACTAAAGGAATCTATTGGAAAAATAAAATATTCCTCTTTAATACACTTCATATATGTATTTCATGAGTTATCACTTATTTTCTAGACATTTCGATAATTTTTAGGTTAGGTTATGTTAAATAGTCGATCAAGCGATTTGAGTCTATCACAATTGGTTGAGACGGCTAATGGCAGATTCGACTATGTCTCCTTGTTCATTATGACCAGATAGCAATGCATCTACTGGCAATGACCACTGTGCTGTGCTATGTTCTATTATACGGACTAGCAGAAAGTATTAGGGGCTATATCGGAAAAAGTGGAATGTAAAAAAACTTTTGTCAAGAAGTATATTGCAACGATCGGGTATTACTTTGAAGTGAATAAAATCGATTTGAAAGAATAAATGAAGAACATATTTTTGATTACAGCATATACCAAAGCGCCTTGAAAATGATTATTTTAAACCACAAAAACTCACTAAATCAACAGATCTTACAGTAAAGTTATTTGAAATATCCGAAGCTAGGCAAAGCCTTGTGTTCTGATATGAGCACATGCGCATCGGAACAAGGCAAAGATATGCCAGCAATTTGCCATGCAAATCAACGCTCTTGTGGGCAGGCAGCGCATCTGTGACGGCATTCGCATAATCAGCAGACACAATTGCTACATGCGCAGTAATCATTTATTGAATGTCGCTTAAGATAAGATTGTCGCGCTCAGCGGCGAGGCGGCACAAGCAACGCGCATGCACCGACGCAGAATGGCAGGCAGCCAGGTGACGCACCTAGAAACGCGCACACGCAAGAACTTCAACAGGGAACCCAAGCTGAGGCACAGACGTTGCTGTTTTCGCGTATGTGTGAGCGCCTACCTTGTGCTTTATATGTATGTGTATGCCTGCACCTCTTTTGCTTTATTTCTTGCTGCGGATTGATGTTTTCATTTTCACTTCACGCTAACAAATGTGTCGCATTTAAAATGCAAATGCGTTGGCTCGAAAGACTGTCGGTTCTGAGACCAGT